TAAAAATTAATAAAAATTAAATTAATAGAAAGTTAATAAAAAATAAATTAATAAAAAATAATAAAAAGTTAATAAAAATAAATTAATAAAAAATAAATTAATAAAAAATAATAAAAAATAATAAAAATAATAAAAAATAATAAAAATAATAAAAAATAATAAAAAATAATAAAAATAATAAAAAATAATAAAAAATAATAAAAAATAATAAAAAATAATAAAAAATAATAAAAAATAATAAAAAATAATAAAAATTAATAAAATTGATAAAAATTAATAAAAATTAATAAAAAATAATAAAAATTAATAAAAATTAATAAAAATTAATAAAAATTAATAAAAAATAAAAGATAATAAAAAATAATAAAAAATAAAAAATAATAAAAAATAATAAAAATAATAAAAAATAATAAAAAATAATAAAAAATAATAAAAAATAATAAAAAATAATAAAAAATAATAAAAAATAATAAAAAATAATAAAAAATAATAAAAAATAATAAAAAATAATAAAAAATAATAAAAAATAATAAAAAATATTAAAAAATAATAAAAATTAATAAAAATTAATAAAAATTAATAAAAAATAATCAAAAATTAATAAACAAAAATTTCCTGGTATTGTGCGATCGGGCCAGCTAGTAATTAATATTATGTTCTATTTGTCAATAAAATTATGCCAATGCAACTAACAATACAAGAAAGTAGTAATATTGGTTGCCTAAATGTCAGTAATTTCTTACCAAAACACAATTTTATAAATAATCTAGTCAAAATTAAAAAAAATATTGTATGTAACAGGTTCATGTTGCGGGACCTCGTTCTGCTTGTCCTGAAAATATTCATTTGTTACATAAAATAAGGAATTTCGTAACTGGTTTCATAAATAGCTATTATTTATAAATTTCACAATTTTTTTTCCAATGTTGTGTCTTTATTTATAAATCGATCATAGTTTTACACATTCATTAAAAATTAATTAAAAATACTTTCATGCACGACCGGGCGATAAAGTCCAGATTATAAATACGTTTAGTTTAGTAGGCGTAAAGTGCTCCTTTATCGCACGCGGACTATTTATTTATTTTTTTATTTATTTTAAAAATTCACATCTATTTAGTAAAACAATAGTTATTTATTAGTAAACGATCGTACATACAATTTTATATATTTGTTAACAAATTATCATTAAAATGGTCGGGCATAAAATTTTATATGCGTTTCGGACGTAAACAAGCGTTTATGGACCTTACGTGTTAATAGCCCTAGCCTAGCGGCTCGGGCTGTCACATTTTTTCAAAAAATGATTTTTATGGCCTAATATACTTAAAATATATTATATTTTTTGTTTGTGATAGTTCTGATTTCCAATTTTGATAAATAACGGCCATTCATCAGATAGGAAGGTATCATGGGCCATATATCATAATGCAGTTGTAAAACTTTAAAATTGTTTTTCTCGAAATAATCTTTGTGTTACATGACATCTTTATCCACTTGTCTTAAATTTTGTGTATTGCGCGGCAATCTGTCGAAAGCGGCAACGAACTTTTCGCTCAAAATGCACACAAGATTTTTTCTACAATCACATTATTTTAAGAAATAGATATAAAAACTGAAAATTTGTCGTAAGCAGTGTACAGTGTGTTGCCTATATCTACGTTAATCATGAAAAACGGAGTTGATATTCAAAGTTAATGTTAACTTGGATAATAAAACAATAAAACATCAAACTACGTATAAATAACTTGAAAATAATTTATTAAGAAGAAATATAATTTTTTTATATTATATCTAATTTAAATTAGGCAAGCAACAAAGCTGTCAAGTTTTCCGCTCGTCGGGCGACACTTAATGTCGGTGCTCGGAAAACGTCAACTTTGCGGTTGTATTTGGAAGCGTAAAAGCCTACTGTGGATAGTGATCGTAGAAAAATAACGATTACCCATTTTTTCACGTTTTCTTATTTTTACGCATTGTCTTCGCATCTTCATTTTTGATAAATAAAAAAAAAAAAAATTGCATCGGCCGGGAATCGAACCCGGGCCGCCCGCGTGGCAGGCGAGCATTCTACCACTGAACCACCGATGCGTTGGGTAAATGCGTCCAATTTTTGGTATTCACCATACAAGTTCAATTATTATTGGAAAGTACTAATTCATACTCATTTCCTAGCAGTATATTTATTTACAGCATTAGCTGTATCAAAGAAGGAATTGTACCTACCTCGTTGAGAAAGTGTAGTTTTGTATTAATTCAGTAGAAAAATCATTTTTAATTTTTTAAGTTTTATCAAATGTACTTACTTACATAATTATTTTACATAGGTACCTAATAGATATTTAAAAAGCTTTCAGTCACATTACAAGTCATTGGTATTTTCATTATACACTTGTACCTGTCCTGCCCTTTTGTTGGCTTTCATTATTCACTAAATTAAATGTAGGTACGCTTTTTAATTTTTAACATTTTTATTTTATCTCTAAAGTAAATAAATTATACTTTATACCTATACCTACCCTTTTTGTAAGAAACTCTTGAATAAAAAGAATTAAAGTAATAGACAGATATATAATCTAACAAAAAAAAAGGTAGGTATTCTTCATTCTTGTTATTTTATGATTTACCTATTGTTAATAGGTAGGTAAGTTAGGTACCTACTTGACATAATTTTTTCATTATTGAAAATATAGATATTTTTGCATAACAAAAAATTTAACTATATTTTATTTTTGTATATTATTTATTAATAATAATGGTCCTTTTTTATTATTGAAATAGCAGGTTCTATCACGAAATATCTACTCTAATAAAGATAAAAAAATAACTGAGTTTTAGTACCATAATTTAAGAAAATTACATCAACGCATCGGTGGTTCAGTGGTAGAATGCTCGCCTGCCACGCGGGCGGCCCGGGTTCGATTCCCGGCCGATGCAAAATTGTTTTGTTTTTTTTATTTGTTCAAAAATGTTAAAATGTACAGAAAGAAATAAATAACGGTGCTGTATGAACATAAACTGACATTTTTGCAAATTAGATGTGAATAATTAATAAGAAGAATAAGATTATTTAAAAATGGTACACTGCATGCACAATCGTGATCAATACAAAATAGAAAGAATTAAGGTATATTAAATTGCTATTTCCAGGATAAAAACAAAAAAATTCTGGCATTTTAAATATAATTAATTGAAACTATTCTGACGTATTTTTATTTTTGGGAAATACTTTTATCAACATATCGAAAATTTGTATACGAAATAGTAACACACGCATATTTTTTTCTCGGATTAAATGGAAATTAAATACAAATAAATATTCCAAACGTTTCTTTTAATTAGAGAATTATAAAAAAAAAAAAAAAAAAGTTTGCCGAAACCAGGGATCGAACCAGGGACCTTTAGATCTTCAGTCTAACGCTCTCCCAACTGAGCTATTTCGGCAGATGAGGGAAACTGTCTTATTACAGTAGTGACAGTAAATTACTTATATTATTATACCGGGAGTCCCAAAAAATATTTACCAATTTTATCTTAGAATGTACCACATATGAAAAACATAAAGATCTGGTCGATTTTAATTATTCAAAAATTTTATTACATTTTGAAACACATTTTTCCTGAGAGTCCTTTTTAAAATAAAAAAAAGAACGTAGGCACCTATAATTATATTGTCCATAAAGGTCACTTCAATCGAAATTTAATTTAGGGAAAACATTAATAGTTTAAACATATTATGCTTTATGTATGATTTTAAATGTGATGCCTACAGTGAAAGCCCTTACCTTAATTATTAAATAATTAATTTTTGTTCGATTTTACCTACCTAGTATAGTGGCATTGCGAGACAGGGCAGGGGAATATCTTCCCCGGTCGGCACTTTGATAGGGGTGCCAAATTTTAGGAAAAAATTATTTAAGTAAGGATATTTGAATGACTTTTTTTATAAAATATTAAATTAACCTATTTTTATATTATTTATTCTCATTAAAGTTAATGATAAATATAATTTTGTTCATTGATTAAACTATTTATTATTACAATATTCAGTAGGTAATTTGAATACTAATTTTCATAATATTCAACTAATAATAAAATATTCTTATTAATATTGTTTTTTGGTAATAATTGGTTATTTTTAGAATTCCAAAACAAGCTTTTGAATATGGTTTTTATAGTTTTTAAAATTTTTGGAGAATAAGAAATTTAATTGATAACTCTATGGAGGAGGGACAAGCAAATGTGGCATTTGCTCCGGATGGCAGAAACCTACTATACGCCATTGCTTATACGTTAAATAAATGACATTATGAGAAAATATAGCTTTATTTTCGGCAAAAAACACCCTCATGTTTTTATTTTGAGATGGATGTTTTTTATTTCGTTTAAATTTAACCAATTTTTTATTAACACCTTTGCTGCGATTCAGGGCACATATTAATGTCCCGTACAGTAACGTAGCTAGTGTAAAATGGTAGGGGGGAGAGAGGGTCTAGACGATAAAGGCGTATTTTTCTTGAAACTTTATTATTTTTTACTTTGGAGTAGACATTGGAAGCAATAGATCACTTCTTTGGCAAGTGTTTCGATATCTCTATCTGGTTATTCCCTTTTCTGTTTGTGCACCTCACAGCTAACTTCTCGCTTGTTATATTCTACACAAAATAAAGCTTAGGGTGAAACTTCTGATGTAATCCAGCATTATTAACATTATAAAATAATAAGAATTATTTCAGAATAAAAAAAAGAATACTCAATCAGTTTTCATATCGGATCGGAATTTAATTTTGTTTATACTTAACCCAACTGAGGCAGGGATCTTTCTCCTCGACCCGTATTGTGTTTCTTGCACTGCGATGCCCCTAGTATCTTAATTTGATCTTGACCAACTGAAATTCAACTACAATGTACAAAAAAATATATAAAAAATACATAAATAATATTAATGTACTAATAAACAAAAGCAAAAATGCACTGAAAAAGTGTTATTTAACTTTCAGGTTAATGACAGCCCAACACAATGCAGCTTTGAATCAAAAACCTCAGGAGATCATAGCGTTGCAACGAAGACCAATAAGCGGTCCTAACGGAGAAATCATAAAAACACCGGGAACCACTCCACATCCAGTTACGCCAACTAATGAGCCCCCAAAATTGCAGTATTGTCCCAAACCGTCGCTACCTCTACAACATAGACCTGGACCTTTTTATGGACACAATCCGAATCTTAAATGTAAGTAGAATTTTATATACAATGGTGATTTATCGTTTTATGAACTATTCTCATTGGTCATTAATAAACACAACACGAATTATAATTTTTTTAGTACCACCAGATCTATTCCTCCTAGGATGCGTATTCGTAGTGGTTGAATTAGAAGATTTTCTAGAAGAAAAAATACCGGGGTGGCAACAAAAAATTGCAAAACATGGCGGTAAGTTCATACCGAATACATTTGGTACACGTACAATTCTTCCTGGTTCTTCACATATGTGTCATAACACTCATAACTAATCTTCAACTAAAATATATTAAAATAATGCCATTCCTTGGTATAGTTATTTTTTTATGCCCCACGTTTGGCGCCAAATTACTCTTCCTTCTTCAGGAGATACAGCTTCAAGAAATATTTCCGTTAAAATAGAATGTAACTTAACCGGAATTGATTTTACAGAACAATTATTTAATTTCCAACAGGTGAAGTGGAAAAACAGTACTGCAGCAGAGTCACTCATGTACTGTGCGAAACACAACGACACGGCGTTGTCATGCAAGCGCTTAGAGACTGTAAACGATGCGTCACCATCATTTGGCTGAGCGATGTCATGCAAAGGAAACAAGTTCTTCCCCCTTGGACAGCTCTGCATCTTCCAAATATCTATCTGGACACTACGCCGGCCGCCAAACATCTCATATCGATTAGTGGATTTGAGGGGAACGATCGTGCTAGGGTAAAACAGATGGTTAAATATACAGGGGCGAAGGTAAGCATTGATTTAACATTTTGGATTATTAATATGTTGTAATGTTTTTTTTAGTGTACAACCTATTTTTCAAAACACAACACCCTCCTTATATCAGCCAAAGCGGACGGCAAGAAATGCTCGTACGCCAAAAAATGGCAAATACCCGTAGTCAGCGTTCAATGGTTGACAGATGTCATGCTGGGACACTTTGCGGCTTTGAATCAATTGGAGCACCAGGTGTACCAACAATTTCCCAATCCGCCGAATTTCAGCTTCGATCCTAAACTCGTTCCAAATTTAATGGGTAAGAACCTTTCATCGTAATATCTTTGGATTGTTAGGTAATGTACATTCATTTTTCTGTTTTAGTGGCTTGGAAAGCTCCGATCAATATTTCTCAAGAATCGTACGAAAGAGTTAAAAGAAGCGCTTCGCCTACTATATCGCCTAAGAAACCAAAGAAGTTAAAAGTCGAACCGACAGACGAAAATGACAATATAAGTGATCAGCCGATGTTGGATTATTCTTATAGAATTTTATTCTCCTTCATAGTCGACGTCAAAGAAATGAAACAGAAGGTCAAGTAAGTATATAAGAGGTGTACTGTCATTAAATCTGTTAATACTCAAATAATAATAGTCTACAGGTCACCTGATAGGGATCTAAAGATCTAAAGAAACTAAACTAGTAACCATTCAGATAAACTTAATAATACTAACACAAGCATATTTGACTCTTCCAGAGAACTAGGTGGATGTTTAGCCAAAGACCATCAGGACTTCACGCACCTGGTGATGCCTCAACTAGCTCGTACCAACAAGCTCTTTTTCGCTATAGCCAAAGAGGTTCACTTGGTATCCGATCAATGGCTCAAAGATTCCCATGAAGCCAACCAATTCCTACCAGAAAACAAATACACTTTGCATCCCAAAGACTTCAACTTCGAATACAAATGTGACATCGAGCAAACGTTGCAAACCCGAAACAGGAGCAAACTGTTCGAAGGAAAATTCTTCTTTGTCACTCCCAGCGTCTTCCCCAGCAAAAGAATCATCGTTGAGCTGATCCAATGTTGCGGCGGGACGGTGGAGAAGCATCGCAGGAGTTCTTCCCAAATCGAAGCCGCCACCATTAACAATCCTTACAGTTATTTCGTGATTACTCACGAAGATGATTTGCACCTCGTAGCTGATTTACTGAAGAACAAAAAAGATAAGATGAGGATCGTTTGTAATGCCGAGTTGGTTTTTAGCGCTGTATTGAAGCAAACCTTTGAAGTAGAGCCGTATGCTGTTAGTGTGTTATGATTCTCTGATAAAACGGAGGAGTCGGTTCAGGATGAGACTGAGGATGAATGAGAAGCGGGCTTGGATTTTTGTTTAACAGGGTGATTTGTGTTTACATACTGATAAGCTGGTGTGGATTTAATTTATACATGGATTCCGTAAAACCAGTCTAGGTAGATTTTTTATGCCACACGTTGGGCGCCATTTATAAAAGGAAAAAGTTTAGTGTGGAAAATATTTACGATTTTACAAAAAGAGAATAAAAATGTAAAAGGTCTTCATAAAACAAATTCTAATGCAGTATGACATTTTGAACATTCAATGAATTGCATTTTTATGCCTACACACTTAGTATTGTTACCTATCATTTTAGTAACAAAATTGTTTATTATAAAACCATTGTGAATGAATGAATAAGGCAACCATAGTTATTTTTTAATTATGGGGCATTTTTTAAGAAGTATATTTTATTTGTTTAGGATGATTTTTATTTTAATAAAACAATATACATTATGAACTAATTCGGAGCTGTTATTATGTTTTTTTTTTAATCAAAATGTTTGACTCCAAGTAACAATGAAAACCTGAACAAAAAATAACTTTTATATTAGGATGGTTTGAAAATTACAATCCTACATCAAATTTGTATTTTCATAGTTTTAATTCGAATTGAAAAGGTTAGAAAAACTAAACATGACCGAATTTAAAAGGTAATAAATAAAATGGTTGAATTTTTGACTTTTTCGAATTGTCTATAATCTTTATAAATGTCTTGAAGTTAATTATTAAAACTTGTATGTATATCTGTCTAAAAATAATCGCTGCCACAATAGATGTATTTGGGAAGGTCCCCTAGATACCCTTACCTATTATACTAGTTTTTGAACCTCTTTAATGGTAATTATAAAATTTATATAATATAGTAGGTAATATAAAGATAAAAATATTTTTACCACAAATTCATTTCGTTTTATCATTATAAGTGTATTTAAAAATTATTAATTTTATTGTTAATTCTGTTTACATTACTTAGGGAAACTTTTTTTTTTTGTGATATACAAAATAAAATTACTGAAAATTTGCTATTTTTTTATTCAAACCAAATTGTTGTCCAGTGCCCTTCTTAGCTATCCTCTTTACTATGCAGGCATAAAAAGTCGCTTCTACATTTAAAAAAAAAGCTAAATTTATTTAACAAAAATATTTTAATAAATACTAATGGAATATTTAACATAGAGATGGCACTTTGCGTGAAAAGTAATTTTTAGACTAGTCTGACGGACATGTCTGGAAAAGTGAAAAGTAATGAAAAGTAGTCGACCTAAAGCATAGAAGACACAGTTAAATCTCCATCCTGGATGTTTTTTCAAAAACACTTTGGAAACAATATTTGTATTTTCGTTTTTTTATGCAAATCATTTGTAAAATACTTCCAACCTTTGGAGTTTATTTTAATAAGATATGAAACGAAAATTCGAAAACATCGTAAAAACATTATAAAAGTTAGTAAACATTTGTCGTTTCTTCTTTTTCAAACGAAATTTTGCCTCTGTAAGAAATTCAGACGAATTAGTTAATTTAATTTCGCGCATGTGCAATACACTTTTCCACTTTTGAAAAGTATGTTTGGACTAGTCAACTTTTCAGACTTATACGTGGTCTTTTCAAAGCGACCCATCACTAATTTAACGAGTAACTTCAACAACATAAACCTTAATCTTTAATAATATATATTAAAGTAAATAAAAAATCTAAAAGTAAAATAAACGACGAAAAAAAAATTGGTTTTTACTACACAAATATTTCACCCTTTGTTAAAGTTAAAGACCTATACGTTAAAAACACAAAAAACGTTCTTTAATTTCAGTAATTTCTTTGTTACCGTCTAAAAACCTAATTATCTAGCATCTAAAATAACATTTAACAGTTTTTTTTTTCTAAAATGACAAGTATTTTTTTGAAAGTAAATTAATGATTTGATTTAGAAAATTAACTCTCAAATAGTGGGTTATTTTACTCTTGGATTCTTTTGTTTTTGTTATTCTTTTTATATGCGCTAAGTTCAGTGATGATGTAATTATGGTTCCACTGACAATTAAAGTGACAGTAGATTTTTTGAGTGCGTTTTGTTTACCTAAATTATATCGTTTTTTTCACTTTTATAAATATATTCCTAAAGTAAGTAGATAGCATGTATGAAATATACAATCGTTTAGTTACCAATTACATACCTTTAAACTATTTTTTATGACCTGTTAACAATATTTTGAAATAAAATAAAAACAGTAAAAACGTATATGTCAAATTTATTGATGTTTTTGTTAAAAGTTTGGTTAGAATTAAATGTCAGTGGAACCAAAATGACATCACCCTGAACTAGCGCATTGTGATCGGATACCACGGAGTCAAATTTTGCTGTCATTTCAACAGCTTTTATAAAATTGTCATTGTTTTGTTAAGACAAGACGGAACTATTTCCACAAATTGGTAAGGATTGCCCATCTACAAATTGGATAATGGCAATTGTTAGATAGTGTGCCTATTTAATACTAGGTATTTATGAATTATGCAAAGCAAGATACTATATTGTTTTGTTTTTGGAAGTTTTGATAGACATATTTTTATTAGATTTGTCAAGCCCTGATAATAAAGTATTTTACTGAATAATAATTTATTGCTCTTTAACAGCAATAAACCTTTTTAAGATAAAACGCCAGCGTTCCTTTTCAAAATAGTACATTAGTAAATTTTTTAATTATCAAACTCCTTGACTCAATCCATTTTATATTAGCTTGCGGATGATGCATGGAGGATTCATGCTCAGGATACAATATGGTATAGGTGCATTGCCAATCAGAACAACCTATTTTTGATGTTCAGTTTAAATACTTCGTTATAAAATATTTTTCAACAAAAACAGAATACCAACCTCTTAATTTTCTCTCCATTTTAGCAAAATGCAAAAATACTGGTTTGAAGATAATTTCCTTCCAGTTTCATCAGCAGGGTACTGTTTTTCTAACTACATAATCATTTTGTACCAGTAAGTATTTCGATGACTCGATTCTGTAAAATGTCAGGCCAGGTAAACGGGTCTAGCATCAAAACAATCAGGTTGATGCTCTGGGACAGAGTCTCCTTAAATGTTTTATTTAAATTTGGATTATGATCTGTTAGATGCAGTTTTTCTTGTTGCGTACCAAACAGGATTCTGCCTACTGAATTAGGGTACCCTCGAGGATACCTGCTTTCTTCAGCTCACTTACTCTAGCTTAGCTATTTTCAACTCTTTTCCTCCGGGCCACATGCATATGTTTGCTATGGTACACAGGTCGCAGTCATTTTAGGAGGTGTCCTTTTTTTTTAAGTCATCCATTTAAAATTAGTGGGGACCTTATTTTAAATTTACTGCTTATGTACTAAATAAAATACGAAACCTAAATAAATCCAAAAGTTTATTTAAAAATTTACGTGATATTTAGCTCAGCGACCGATGAATGTTTTCAGGCATTTCGCCCAAGATTTTAATTAGTGTTTTGACGTCTAGAAGCATATATTTCTTTGCCAGCAAAACACGAAAAAGATCCATGTATTAGCAACTTTACTTTGAATTTGATAGGTCACACGACAGCTCCCATCGCCGGGACATAGTATATGTTGTTCACCCTCTCCCCTGAACCTTAACTGCAAATATAAAACAAAAAAGACGACGTGACTCTTTTTGCAGTCAGATGAGGGACTATAATAAAGAGTCGAAAGTTGAAAAATCAAAAAAATTTGCTAGACAAAATCCAAACTGACGAAATGTAATTTCCTTTCACATTTTCGTCGAGTATATCAAACGGCGGCCGCCCTATATTATTGTGGCTTTTCCAACAATAAATCAATGTTACAGTACGTTAACTTTGCTTTCCTGATACCAGTCGCACGGTATAGAAACACAATAGTATTAGTATTGCTTAAAGAGAAATAGAATAATAGGCGTACCGCAATACAGGGTGTACCAATAAAAACTCTCAGGCCGGATGTTTTGGTAAGTAATAGAGATATTTTAATTCTGTAAAAGCCAGTTCATAGATCGCTAAGAGAGCTTCAGTTTTAGATATAATTTAATTTTAAATAGGTCGATTTGTAGATGGCGCTGCTCTCAATATTTTTTTTTTTCGTTGGGAGGAACTTTCTTATATAGCGCATCATGTAAAAAATGCATTTTTAAGCATATTTTTTTCTATGAACTAATTCGATAAATCTAGCCATTTTTGATATACAGAGTGGGTCACTCAAAACAGTTTCATCCTGTTATTCAGCATTTATCATTGGATTTTAAGAAAATGCTAAAACAGGTCGATTTTTTTCAAATAAAAAACATTTTTACATTACAGACATCTGTCATGTGTCAACCCCCTCCCTTACACTTCTACAACATCTTAATTTTAAATAGGTAATGTACCATGTATGGCACATCATTGAAATATCCTATCAATGCCGTCGAACGAGCGTAGTTAAACCATTGCTCTCTTTATTTGTCTCACCTCAAAATATAATTGTCTCATCTTTATAGTCTGCCGGATATGGTATTATGAGGTACTGTATATAGAGGATTTTAAGTGTCAAGTCTAGCTTTTATGAAATATCTTAGGGCCGATTCCACCGTTTGTGTTAAACGGAGATTAAAATGACATTGGGGTCTATTCTGTAACAATTCCTTTATATTTAACGGCCTTTAAAAATATTGGCGACCTTTAAAAATATGTTTGTATTCGTTAATTTACTTCTGTCATTATTTAAACAGATTTCTTTAAAATAGTCCTCTAATGTATTTTAAAGATCCGTTTAAATAATGACAGAAGTAAAGAAGAAAATATTTTTAAAGGCCGTTAAATATAAAGGAATTGTTACAGAATAGATCCCATTGTTAATGTAAAAATGTCATTTTAAACTTCGTTTAACACAACGGTGGAATCGGTCCTTAGGTATGAAATTTAGTTTAACTTATTTTTATATTCAAAATGTAAATGTAATTAACTGTTCCTGCCGACGACGGCCTGCGGCCGCCCTTAAGTTTGGTTGCCCTTTTTATGTCTGCAAACCCCTAAGAACGGCTCTGGTGTCCCATACGTCACAAAAGAAACCACTTGCAAACGCACTTCATTGAAACGCACACGAAACAAGTAGTTCTTTTGTAACAAGATGGCAGAGTAACTTCACAAACACTCCTATTTTTAATACTAAAAAAAAAGAAGACTTCAAACATCAATTAAGGTTAGGTTTAGATAATATTTTTGTAAGGTGATGTTTTTTCAATTTGATGAGAACTAAATAATTGTATATTTCGTTTATATTTGTAATTTAAAATGGATAATACTAAAAAAAATTGGACGGATCAAGAAAGACAAGAATTGGCGGCCAAATTAGATAAAGAGTTGGATGATTTCATTGATAAATTGCCAAAAAAAAAGTATGAAGATGGATGGCCAGAGGATCGTTGGGAAGAAGTAAGTTTACTGTAATAATTTTTGGATTTTCCTGGTTGACTCTTAGTTAAGTTTCAATAAGCAACAATAATATAAGTTTAAAGTTTTTTTTATTAGGAAATGGATAAACATCCATTTTTCATGAAAGAACCACCAAAACCAGGGGATGAGGTTCATCCTCTGTTTGAAGGACTCCAAAAATTGAAATACGATCCAGAAGAAAACGAACCAGAAGGTAAAGTCAGAGTAATACTTAAACTATAATTTAGATTTTAATTAATAATACATTTTTAATACACATTACAGATTTGGCAGTTAATTATAAAGAAGATGGAAATTATAACTTTAAGTACAAAAACTACAGATTAGCAATAATATCTTACACAGAAGGAATTAAAGTAAAATGTGAAAATCCAGAAATAAATGCTACTTTACTTAATAATAGGGCTGCAGCACATTTCTTCCTAAAAAATTATAGGTACCTACATCCTATTTTTTTCTTGTACCTACTATATCCCCGTTAATTATTTATTTATCTATTGATTTTGTTATTAGATCTTCACTTCAAGACTGCCAATTGGCTTTAAAAATAAAACCAGATTATGAAAAAGCTCTAGTCAGAGCTGCTAACTGTTGTTTTGAGATGAAACAATATCAAAACGCAATTGAATTTTGTGATGTTATTTTGAATAAACAAAAGGACAATGAAGTGATATTAGAATTAAGGCAAAAGTGTGTAAATGAAGAGAAATTGAAGAAACGAAATGAAAGGAAAAGAGATATTGAGATCAAGAAGAAAGAAAAAGAAGAGGAGGAACTTATTAAAGAGATTATTAAGAGAGGATATAAAATAGAAGGGGGGTTAAAAGGTGAGATAAATTTTGGTTCAATAAAAATAAATACTATAGTTTAAAATTGATTTTCAGGTAAACTTTCCTTAGATAAGTTGGAACCTCATTTTCCTCAATTGGTCCACAACAGAGTATTCTTGGATGAAAATAATAACTTAATATGGCCTGTTGTTTTTGTCTATCCAGAATATAAAATTATGGACTACATACAAGAATTCAATGAGAAAAAAACGTAATAGTTTTGTACAATTTTAATACAATAACTTGGTCCAGTAATAAACTAGTATTTTATCATTTTACTGTGACATTTTCAGATTTTCGGAATTGTTTGAGCTGGTATTTAAATCACCTCCGGAATGGGATACAGATAAGAAATATAAACCAAAAGAATTAGCTATATACTTTGAAACTTTACAAAAAAAAGTTAAATATGTCAGAAATGAAACGATTTTGGGAAATGTGTTGGCATCTAAAGAGTAAGATATTTTTCTATAGAGAAATCTAAACAAAATATATTTTAAAAAATTAAAAAATATATTTTTCTTTCAGCTATGTCATTAAAGGAGGAACTCCATCATTTATTATAATGGTTAAGGGAAGTCCAGCAGAAAAACGTTTCCTGGAAGAATATTAGTTATTTTATATAATCTCCTTTTCTATTTGTCTTCACTTTAAATAAAAAATATTTGACTTTGCTGATATTTTATTTGGATTTATGTACTTTGTATACAGTATATATCGAGCAAGTACCTTCACATGTCACCTAATGTGTTTAATGAAAAAATTAACAGTATTTTTCTATTAATATCCATATCTTTTTGTCTGAATAATTCATTGTTAACAAGATGAACAGGCGTATGTCAAAATTACAAGATTTGAGTAATTAAAGTTTTTTATTAACTTTAAAAGTTGCTTAAAAAATGCTAATATCATAAAATGTTTTGTCAGAAAACGCCTTCTGATGGATCTAACTCAAATCCTGGAATTTCTGAGATATGCCCCTTCGTCATGTTAGCTATGAATTATATCGTAAATAAAACCATTGATTTGTAGTTATTTAGTGCTTCATTTTATATTTACTATAATCATATTTATTTGAATTGAATTATACATTTTGTAAAAAGTCTAATTTATTTAGCTATACAGTTGTCATAGCAACATAATAAATAAGAAACTTGGTAAAAGTCCCTCATTTGACTGCAAAAAGTGGCATGTAATATTTTTTGCTGGTTATTTGTAGTTGGGTACAGGGAAGGGGGTGAATAACCTACAGTAGAACCCTGATTATCCGAGACGTGGTTAACTGAGGTCCTGATTAACCGAGCGGATGAGACATTCTGATTATTCGAGATACGGGCGCGATTGCTCTATATTAACAGAGCTCACAAAATGTATACTTAAAATCAACGGGGAATCCTAGACCAGCTTCACCCGTGTAACGGATAATCCGAGGCAGGTCCTCTACATTTTACCTCTGATAATCTGAGTTCTACCGTACTATGTCCCGGTGGTGTCATCTGACCTGTTAAGTAAAGTTGCTTAACGATAGATTTTTAATTTTTTTTTGCTGGAAATGAAATATATGAATGCAGACTTTTTCTGTCATCCCATAGAAAAAGTGTCATCCGGTGTAGAGATTCCAGCGAAATAACAGGATATTAATTTTTTTCAACTAAATTCGGGATATAGCTTAGACGCTGTTTTTCAAAATCGGAGGCACATATTTTTTGTGTCGACAACCCCGGATTTTCAAAAAAAAAAGTCAAAATAGTCTAATTTATGGCGAATTGGGTAGATTTACTGAAGAAAAAACTGCTTGTAAGGGCAATACTCTTAGTTGAGAGTCATACCATACTAACATTTTGAGAGCAATTAAACCATCCACTTTTCGACTTTTAGTTTCGATTTTACATCTATTTCAAGGTAACATTTTTGTTTGTCTATCGACCCTTTCCTCAGCCAAAAAATGCAATATCATCTCATATTCAGAAAAACCGCGTTTAAGCTATTTCCCGAACTTCGTTGAAAAGGTTATACCTATATTCAGTTACGTTGCCGAAATTCCTTACACCGGAAGTAACAAAACCGGACAACAGAAAATGCTCGCAAAGGCATTGTTTTTATTGGTATTGACAATCCATCGATAAGCAACTTTACTTTGAATTTCGCAGTAACAGGACCGCTCCCACCACCAGGACATAGTACATGTTGTTCACCTCACTCCTGTACCCAACTACAAATAATAACCAACTAAAAGCACAACGTGCTACTTCTTGCTCAATAAATAATATAAAGTGCTCAAAAAATTCTGATCACTTAGGTCGTTATAATAATTCCAAAGAATTCCACTACTTTTATGAAACCTGTAGGTACCTATATACTAGCACTGAAATTATTTAGAATTCCAGTAGGAGAAAAATTAGAAAAGTAACATTTTTAATTATCCACTATTTCTATGCCCCTTATTTGAACCAAATAAAAGTATAAAACATTGATTTTTCTGATATTTTATTTGGATGTACTTTGGATACAGAATACATCAAGTAAAATTATTAAACCCAATATGGTGCCCTGTCACCTAACGTGTTAAATGAAACAAAAATTAATTTTGGCCGTTATCTCTCTTTGTCCGAACAATAATTATACCTTAAATAAAACCATTGATTTGTAGTTATTTTGTCTATCAAAGCTTTATTTTTATCAGAAATTTGTAGATCCGTACCTACCCATTTACCTATATACTTTTTTAACAATTATAGACTTTTCTGTACTAATCACCTAGTGTTTAATTCATTTTACTTGTTTTGTAAATCAACTTTTCCGATAATTACATTTTTAATTCATAATATTCCTGTTTTAGTGCCGTTATTTAAATCTCGCTCGGCAATAAACAAAAAAAAAACATGTGGAGAACAGTAACATTTCGTGCTATTGTTGTGGTGCGCCAGCAAGTGTGCATTCACCTTGAATTCGAACCGTGCATGTGGCGTGGCAGCACTGTTAAACAATATACAAAATGGCGTCGTAATGTTGCTCGTTGCTGTCGCGGACGTTATCAGAATACTTATCAAAATAAGTAAACAATTTGAGACGACCGGCGTCCGAAATCGTTATCAATGCATTTGAGCATTATTAGAGCAAGTGACGAGTGCACAAAAATCGAACTTCGTGAAGTGAATGTGTGAAAAAGCTCGTTGGAAAAATGTAATGTTTCTTTGTCTACACAAGTAGACTATGCAAAGTGTTCATGATTGTTCTTTACTTCTACCGACTGTTTCTCATCTTTCAGCCCAGTAGGATTATTGTTTGTGATACGTGAAAGAATATACTCGTAAGTAGAGGCTTTTTAAGACACTTTTCATTGATATTTCGATAGTTTTCATAGAAAATTTTAAGTAGGACAGCGGGAATCTTGGGCGTATGCAAGAAAAATGTTGGCAGTATACAACTGGTCTACAAATTTGATGTATAGAGGTTTCTTCCGATTTTTATTAAAAATATTGATTTTATCCCATATTATGTGTTTTCGAAGTTTTTAATAGGATCATGCATTGTATCCTGGACGTTTTTATTACCTATAAATTCCTGTCCGACCGCATTCTAGTAAATATCTAGTACGGGAAATAAATTCTTCAGAAATGTTGATAACCAGCTTCTTAATTGTGCAATGTAAGTATAACCCTTGCCTATTTTTTTATTGCAGATTCCCTATTTTGAAGACTGGTTCAACATTCCTGTGACTTTCAATTTGCTCTGTAAGTAATTACTTTTAATTGCTAATTTGCTTCGGTCGTTTTTGTTTGTCCCTTTCTTTCATTCGAGTTGTAGTGAGGGCCACATAATATAAGCACATGTATGTAATTGATTTTAAATTGTTCCGCTTTTTCTTTTGCTTCAAATTGAACCGTTTTTCTCCATTATAGATAAATGGATATTAATGGATTGTAAATAAATAATAGTGAGTGTAATTAATTTTGGTATACCGAAATGCCGAAATTGATGGCAGTAATTCGTTTTTAGGTGACATTTGTGCAGTTTATTTTATTTAAAAAAAAATTCTAATGGGTTGTTTTTTCCGCTGCGAATGTTTTTAGCTTTTCTAATGTACATCATAATGCAAAATACGCTATGACACGTTAGTATTTATTACAGTCGAAGAAAAATGCATCTACCTATTTTGTATACCTATTTAAATTATGTGGAATTCTTTGATTCAAAGATGTTTATGTCCGAGGTACCTAGCAAGGTAAGGAGCAATAACCTCATTGTCAGATGCTTGAAGTGAACAATTAATAAAAATAAACATCTCTTTAATTTTGGTTTGTTTTGTTAAATATTTAATTTATATTTACAATGATCTTATTTGCCTATTTGAATTGAGTTTTAGCTTTTGTTAAAAGTCAATAATTTATTTTGCTATACAGCTGTCATAGTGACAATAATAATAAAAGATACTTTGTAACTATTTCTGATTGAAAACATTGCCATGGCATGTAGGTATATAGAGGGGAATTAGCTCATGTTTTACAAGTAAATTTGGAACCTAACCTGGCATATAATTTATTTATTAGACATTTATTAGCTGTACTTTAATGGCATACATACAGATTTTCATTAAGATACAAGTTTACAGCCAATAGAAATGCAATATCACAGCAAAATTTGCTAAAAATCATATATGCCATGAACATCTGACACATCTAAAATTTATCAGTTTGACACTTTATTGTCAGATTTTAGTTAGTAAAAATTCTGAAAATCATAAAATCGGAGGTACAGTGACAATAATGAACTAGATAATCTAACTACACCAGAAATTGTGGAACAGGGCACAAGAGCCACAAATAATTTATTACCATCAAAATCCACAAAAGTATATGAAACATTTTATAGTCAATTTATGGATTGAAGGGATAAGAAAAATGCAAACACATTTTTAGAAAACGTAATAATTGTTTATTTTGATGATTTATCAAGTAAATTAAAACTGACATATTCAATTTTTAAATCGACTTTGTGTATTAATCATCAAGTGGATATATCCAAATATTCAAAATTACATGCATTGTTGAAAAGAAAATCAAAAACATTTAATACAAATTAAATAAAACAATTTATTGCAGGAGCCCCAGACGTTAAATATCTGTTTTCTATGTTTGTTTGGGATAAAGTTTTGATGTTTATTTAGTTCTTCCTCTATAAGTTTAATAAAATTTTTTTAAATAAATTCTTTTTCTTAATTATAATTTAATGGTCGTAGAAAAAATAGTATATGCAACTCACATTTAATGGCTATTAAGGCACTCGTATTCATTACGACACTCGCCAAGGCACCTGTCGTAATTCTCATACTCGTGTCTTAATAGCTATCATTAAATGCTCGTTGCATAATTATACTATTTTTTATTAATAATACAGGACAGGGTGTGACGGAAATGTAAATTCCCGTGAACAATGTAGATTCATAAGTTTCCCAAAAAAATTTTGAACACTAAAAATAGTAGGTGGTACTCATTCCATTATAATGAATTTAAAAAAATGTATATGTTCATGCAGTTTTGCCAAGAGTTTCAGTTATAAACAGTATAAAATACATGAATATTAAGCTTGAAATATTCTTAAAATTGTAGAATTATTAAAAAAAAAATAGAGCAAGGAAAATCTTTACAAATGAAA